GCCTGGCCAGTTGGAGCCTTTTGAAAGGCTCAGTTGAAATCCTATGGCTTCCTGGAGTTGGTCTGATCCTAGAGTTTTGCCCTAAAAACTTCAGGGCAAAGAGGATCAGCTCTGGTCATGGGCATGTGCTGTGGACACCTGGCTGTCCACACATGGCCTTTGGTGGGGATAGGACTTGTGTCAATAAACAAAGACCAACTACATAGGAAATGCAGACTCTCCAGGGCTTGCTATAGCTTCCTACCATGCTGGCAGAGACTCTAAGGCAGAGAGGGGAGCTGTAGAAAGGTAGCTTCAGGGGTGCTTTGGGGGTGCTTGGAGAAGGTGCAGGCTCTAGGAGTGGGAGTTGGGTTGCTTGCATCACCCATAGTGCTCAGTGTGTTGGGTTTTGTGCTAGACCTGCTGGATGAGAACCTCAGTCATTCTCATGTGTGCCCAGGGCTGAAGACCTCAGCTCTGGTCTCAGTGCTCTGGTGAAGTACACAGGCTACCCCCTACCTGGGAGTTGTCTGTCTTAAACCAGAACCCCCAAACATGGTTGATGGAAAGAATTACTTGGGGCAGGAGAGGAGGAGATAGCTGCCTCTGCAGGGAAGGGCCTAGGTATCTGCACGTGATCCGGAAGCCCCAGCCTTGGTTCCAGTGAGTTGAGAAGCAGCACTGACAGCTCCCAGCTGGGCTCCAGGTGGGACAGCAGCGGCAGCGCCACACAGCGCTCTTTGGGTTGGTGTTTCTGCATCAGGGACCTGGTGGGGGCTGTTTGGTCACCATTCCTGGAATTTATTCAGGGGGTGGTCTGGTTTGCAGCGCCTGTCGCCTGGTGTCTGGTGAAAGGCTATATATAACACTGGAAGGCTTTGTTTTGTTTTAATCATGGCTTTATAATTACCTCGATGCTGGCTGACAGCTGTTATTAGCGTCACCTTGGGTTCTCCTTGAGAATTTTTACATCCAGAAAGCGATCCAGCACTGCTGGGGCCGGTGTCAGAAGCTGTTAGCGAAACAATAGCTTTCCAAAGTCACCAGGTTTTATAAACACAGCGGATTCTGTCCCCTTCCAGGGGAGGAAAGAAGCTAAATAATTTTCAGGAAGGCAATTTGTTTCCCGGAGTGTGTATTTATTTCTCCTCCGCCTCCTCTGCGGGCCTTCGCCACTCTGGGGCGCCGCAGAAGTCAGTGCTGGCTCCGAAGGGGCTGCAGCTGCGGTTGCTGGGGGACTTTTCCCCTGGAAACCACCGCAGGGGTGCACGGCAAGGGGAAACAAAGACCTTCTGGGAAAGAATGTTGCTTTCTTCTCCCTTAATGTTAGAAACAGTTTGATAGGTTTGCGTGTCTGGGAGGATGGAGGAGGGGAGTGGTGGAAGCTTAGGTTAGTTACTGTTTCAAATTCCCTCGGGAATTTGAGTTTCCATCCAAAGTATTTAAAGAGGAATGGTTAAAATTATGGCTGGAATTTGGTTGGCTATGAAAAATAATTTTCTAAGTATTGGAGAAAATGGAGATTTTTTTTCCTTCTCAAATAAGACTGTGCTGCCAGGTGTGGTGGTGGATGTTGATAATCCTAGCACTCGGGAGGCTGAGGCAGGAGGATCACAGTGAGGTTAAGGCCAGCCTAAACTGTGTAGTGAGACCTTGGAGAGAGAGAGAGAGAGAGGGAGAGAGAGAGAGAGAGAGAGAGAGAGACAGACAGACAGAGAGAGACAGACAGAGAGACAGAGAGACAGAGACAGAGAGAGACAGACAGAGAGAGAGACAGAGAGAGACAGAGACAGAGAGAGACAGAGAGAGAGACAGAGAGACAGAGACAGAGAGAGACAGACAGAGAGAGAGACAGAGAGAGACAGAGACAGAGAGACAGAGACAGAGAGACAGAGAGAGAGAGAAACAGAGAGAGAGACAGACAGAGACAGAGAGAGAGACAGAGACAGAGACAGAGAAACAGAGACAGAGAGACAGAGACAGAGAGAGACAGAGACAGAGAGACAGAGTGAGAGACAGAGAAAAAGACACAGAGAGAGAGACATACACACACACAGAGACAGAACAGGGAGAGACAGAGAGAGAGAGAGACAGAGAGAGACAGAGAGAGAGAGAGAGAAGACTGTGGCGTCTTTCTGTAGCCTGGCCCCTGGAATGACCTGCATGCTGCTTGTGAGGAGTGTGGTGTTGTAGTGGAGCCTGGCGGAAGTCAGGGAGGCTTGTCCCTGACTAGTTGGTGGCATGTCCTAGAACAACACACAGACCAGCTTCAGCCTCGCCTGTTTTTATTCATTTCTAGAAGGTCCTGGAAAACAATACCTTGTTCATAATCTCGTAAGATTTTCTTCCAAAATGTAATGAAACAATGTGTCATTTGCTTTTTTTATTTTAAACAGAAAAAAATTAAAAAAGAATAAAATAGGGTTTTGAAATAGCCTAGTAGAAGAGTAACATTAATTAATACATTGATATGAATATACTCATAGCAGTTTTTCAGAGTACAAGACATAGGCATGAAATATTGTCCAAAAATATTAGCACAAACCTTTCTTCTCAATGAACTAAGAAAAACTAGCTGCATAACTATCTTATATATATATATATTTTTTTTTTTTTTTTCCTTTCCTCTTTCTTCCTTTCCCCTTTCACCCACACAATTGTACTTTGGAAAAGTCAAGCATCGCATACAAAGCAAGTCAGAATTATTATGAACTCAAGCCTCAGCTGTCAGACCTGCTGTTTAGCACCCAAAGTCCTTGTCCACCGTCTACCTGACAGGCCATCCTAGACCCCATGTGGGGATCAATGAGATTCGGAAGTTTAATTCTTTTTTTTTTTTTTTCCATTTGGTATATTTGACACATGGACTCACGAATACCAGAGAAATATTGTCAAGTTTTTTCACTTTGAAAGACATAGAGACCTTCAAAGGAGAAAGTCCATTCTTGCTGAGTTTGACAGCTGTTCTTAGCTTCTTCTAAGGGTCAGTGAGCAGCTCTAGAATGCGAGAGAAATGAAACAGAGTTCTTTTGTTAATAAGAATCTTGAAGTGCGGAGATGGGCAGCGGTGAACATTAAAGCCAAAATTAAAGAAAATGGTAAGCATGGGCAAGGGGCTCAGAGCTCATTCCCCAAGATGCTCACAAAGGCGGTTCAGGAGTAGACGTCGTGCCCAGCTCTGGCAGGTGGCAGGAGGAGTCAGCTGCACGGTTATCTCTGCCTCCCACTGAAGAGTCAGACGCAGAGGAGCCTGGTCACCCAGCTGGGTCAGGAAGGCGTCAGGACCCAGGCTCCTGTGTCCCAATCCTAGTTTTCCAGAGGAGTACGAGTAGCTGTGCTTTCCCCGAATCCCTCTTTTCTCCTCCTCTACCTCCTCTTTATGGCCCTTTCTCCTCCCATGGAGGGTGTCAGCTTTGTCCATAGGCACAAACGGCACCGCTAGGCTGTCACTTGAGCCCAATCCAGAGCCTACACCATTCAATGCCTTTCAGGACTGTCTGGGGCGACAGTCTTGGAGCCACTGGCTAGGTTAGGGGAAGACAATTGTCACCAGATGCTGGGCCCGGAGACTTCTTATCTGTGAAGTTACATCCTGGGCTCCAGGAGTATAATCAAGCCCAGAGTTCTCCATAAAACTGAGTTAGAGTGCTCAGTGAATGAACTGTTTGCTCCTCTTTGTGAGCAATGTATCTTTAATTACATTTCATAAAAATGTCGCGGTGGATTGATGGGACTTTATTTAGACTTTAGGTAGGCACGGGGAGTAAATGATGTTGCAATATAACATGTTCTGTTAATATAGGCTTGGAACACATTTACTTTATGTCAGTTCAACAGAATCTTTGATGTGGGGCTACTTAAAAATATATTACCTTGGAAAAGATTTCTGTGGAAGACAGAGTGACTGCCTGGCAGCTTGTAAGCATTCAACCAGATGATCAATTGACAAACATGTCAACAGGTATAATTCACTGTACTGGCTCCCTGGATACATGCAAAACGCTGTTTTATTTTAGAAAAAGAATATATTTCTTGAAATCCCTTTCAGTCACATTGTAGAATTTATGAAGCAAATCTTGTCAGGCGTAAGTTCTTTACAATGAAAGCAGTGTGTCTTTGGCCGGATTATTTCAGGTGTTGTTTTAGGCTGGAAAATAAACGCTACTGATAGTGAAAAGCAGCAGAGACCCAAGCTGCAGAGAAAGGTTATATTTTATCTGGCGGATTGTATTTATACTTGCAAAAAGCTATCACTATTCTGCCAGACCGTAATATTTACTTTTTTCTTTTTCTTCATGAATCCTTTTGATGGGACCAGGAAATTGTGTTTTCCCCTTGGGGGAGATCTGTTTGCTGCTACTAATGTGTTGGATAAAGGCTGGGCTAAGTGCTCCCCCGCGGTGCTGGGGTTCCCCCTAGTATGGAGGATGAAGGCTGTAGACCCCCAGAAAAAGCTAGCTTGAACAAGAATATGGGTGTGATGGGTACCCCTTTAAGGTCTGTGGGGGCTCCTCCTTGTGTTTAAACCCAAAGTGCCTTCTCGTTTTCTAACTCTATAAAGAAAACAAAGGTACAGATTCATGCGTCTTTGAGGTTGGGTCCACTGCTTAATTGAAAAACAGAGAAAAATTGTCCTCTCTCCTCTCTCAGAGAAAGGGAGTAGATTTGATCCAGCAAAGATAAAGTTCTTTGCTGGAGGAGGACAAGATGAGCAAGAATGGCCTGCGCAAAAAGTGTGGCACTGAGCTTGTCCCTCGTGGCCACCACGATGGGCTCTCCAAGGCAGAACCATAGGCATGGGTTTGGGGAAAGGTCTGATCTTGAAGGGACCATGAATTAATGTCAAAGAAACTGGAATGCTGTGGTGGATTTAATTTCTCTTGTGCAAAGTCTGATTCATATGCTAAGTGAAGTTAGCATGGTGGCAAAAGAGCCCCTCCCAAATAATAAACAAACAAACAAACAAACAAACCCCAAACCATTTACATCTTTGAAACATCCACTCTTGTGCCAACTCAACATTATTTTAACTTTGAATTTTATTATCTGCAGACTCCAGCTCCTGGCCCTGGTTAATCTTCTTCATCTGTCCCAGGAGAAACTGACTTGGAATTCCCAAAGCTTTGGGGGCTGTAGGGTCACACAAGGGGCCACACTAGTTCATTGTCCTTGTTACCTGGACCTGGTTGGCAGTCTGGGCCTCTCATTTATATCACATGTTGGGAGAGATGCCAGGAAGCTGGCACCATCCCGGAGAGGAAGTCTTTCAGTAAATGAAGAAGTCCTCCAGAGGGATAAGGATGTTTCATCGGCTGCTCCATGGATGATGGCAGACACTAGAAGCTATTGTTTCCTTCTCTGCTGACTGCAGGATGGGAGGGGCCAGTGTGACCCTTGCCAGCCTAGCCAGGGGAGGGGCAGCCTCAGGGAGCCTCCTGCCAGTGCCAAGCACGCTCACAGAGGGTGGCTTGCCTCTCCTGGGGAATTCTCTATGGTGCTGACCTCTCTATGATGTAACATGGTACCTGGCTCCTAGCTGCCCACATAGCTCTTATCACCACAGTTGAGGGGGAAGAGGACTCAGGCAATGATGCCATCAACCCACCCTAACCTCCTACAATGGAGGAGATCAGCCTAGACAGGTGATTCATCTCATTTCTCTTCTGGCTGAGGTGGCTTCGCTCTGTATCCTGGTTTCAGAAGTGAGGCCCTGTGATTACACCCACTTAGTACCCCGTGTCACCCACTGTGTCTCTGAGCAGCCCCTGCAGCTGGACTCTGCATGCATCTTCAGCCTTCTTGGAATTCTGTCTCTCAACCCTAGCACAGGGTGCAGACACTTCCCGACCAGTGCTTCTGAAGCCCCTGACCCGGGAGCTGGGTCTTATAGGCCACTCAAAGGATTTGCCTGCTGCGTGCTCAGCTGGGCCAGGCTCACCCACACTACCTGCCCAGCCATTTAGGGATGGCCCAGCCCCACAGCAAGCAGGTTTCCTGAACCTCCTTTCTTCTCAGCACTTGCTTTTCCTCAGCCACTCCCATCGCCTGCAGCCCAGGAGGTTCCCAGGCATCAGCCCAGCTTGTTCTGGCTGTGTCCTGAGCAGAGCTTTCAGATTAATGCAGCCACACGAGCAAAGAGCTGACCATGCACAGACATTTTCCAATATAGAGGACGAGTATAGCCCTTTTGGGTAATATAATCATCGGTCCTTTAGAGAGATAAGCCTGGTCACCCCCATATTAATAACTGGACAAGTCAAATGAGATTTATTTATTCATTGCCTGTCCCTGTGGGAAGCTAGCTGGAGTCCCTAGGACCCAGGCTAACATGTTCTTTAGCCCATGATCTATTTCAACAAGAAAGGATTGGAGGTCTATAATTTCCACAAATTTAAAAAATCAGCTTTGCAGTGGATCTGGAGGGCTGCCCCTTAGCTGTACCCGTGGGTGAGAATTCTTGTCTTTGACAACCCACTGAGCTGGCATTGAATTGCCCGATTATTGAAATTTTTTTCTAAATAAAAAGTACTCCACAGCCTCGGATGGAAAAATTCCAAGATCTGCAGCAAATATCTAGCTCGCTGGCAGAAGCAGGTTTCTGGCGTGAGCCACTGTTTGCTCCTTTCCTTTGAGCACCCCTAGAAGTTTTACAGATGACCTGGGAATAAACTTGGCCAAGAAGCCTCAGGGAGAGACAGACACACCAGTGTGTGAGCCTCACCCACTTGGTCTCGCAAGCTCCAGACCCCACCTGGTGCAGAGAATAGGCGCCTTGTTTGGCAAGCTTGGTCATGTGGGTGTGTTGGGCGGCAAGAGCATTTGACTCGCGCTGAGGCCAAGAGCAGCGTGGCTGTCGCTGGGAGCCGAAAGCTCTAGATTGATGGCACTGGGGCTGAGCTCTGGATGCAGGAGTGGAGAGTGCGTGGGCTGTGTGTTCTCATCCACCAAGCCACCTTGTGTCAGGAGTGCTTAGCTTCATCAACAAAGCTCTTAATGGGACTTTGGTATCCTGTCATCCCTCAGGCTTCTAAAAACAAAGCTTTCCCACCCTCTGTGGGACTGTGTGTGCGGCAGGCAGGTGGGACGGTGGAGGAACGAGGCACAGGGAATGTAATGACACAGTGGAGACGTTAGGGCCAGTCACGTCTGCGCCAAACTATCCTCTCTTCTCCTGTGTGACTCTGACAAGATGCCTGAGGAAGCCTCCCCTGGTACCTTTGGTTTTCTGATTTGCAAAATGGGAGAATGCTATTTACTTCATTCACTGTGATGGGGTTAAGTGATTTCATGGTTACCATGTAGAATATCTGGCCCACTGAGTGTAAGCTATATTCCTCTCCTAAATTAAGGATAGCCTTTGAAGGATTAAAAAGTGTCACTGTGGGATCTAATGTTTTGGTTAATCTCTGAGCCCCAAGGCAAAGCAGGATTTGGAACTGAAAACTGCCACTATGTAAAGTTTAGCACAGAGCAGGGGTACTTCTTCAAGGCCATTCCAGGATTCCTTTTGGGGGTCAGTTTTTTTGCCATCTAGGGGCAGTACAGGTCCTTCGCTGTCACCTTGTGTCTGCTGGGGGTGACTGGAGTCATCTCCTTGTGTTGGGGCTGTTCCTCCGGCTGAGATTTGTCCTGGGCGCGGCCGATGCGGGCCTCTGGCTGCAGCCCATGACCAAGCACGCAGAGCCCTGGGGGAGCTGCTTGTTCTGTTAACAGATCTAGGGCACAGGGGCTGCTCCGTCCTGCTGCCACATCCTGCTTGGAACCGTCCTCGCTGCTGCTGCTGCTCCAGAGAGAGAGAAAAAGATCAGCTCAGATCAGATCTGTGCTCTGTTCCTCCCCAGCCCTCTCACAGGAAGTCCAGTGGCTCCCCTGGACACCGGGCCTCTGTCTTTCCATGTCAGGCTTGCCTGGGGAGCTGTCTTTGCTGTGTGCTCACCTGCTCAGCTGCTGTGGCGGGGCCTTTCAGCTGACAGGCTGAATCCTGCTCTTTCCCCCGTGAACAAAGCAACTCCTTTAGGAGCTCTGGGAACTGGGCCTTTATTTTGTTTTTGTTTCTAAAGCACTTCTTGTTCAGTAAAGGACTAGGCTTAGCTAGTTGAATTAATAACAACAATAACGGCAACCCAAACCAAACCAAACCAAACCAAACCAAACCAAACCAAAACAAAATAAAGCAAAACAAAACACCAAAGTCAACCCTGCTTTCACAGCTGCTACCCTTTTCCTGGGCGGAATGAACTGGAAGCTTTTTGGTTCAGCCTTGCCCAGAATTTGGCTAGAACAGAGTCTCCCAGATGCTGAGTGATGTGGCCAACGGAGGCTGTGTTTGGGGAGGGGATTCCCACATGAGCCTCAGTTTGGGCAAGGTTTGAAAGAACAGAGGGCAGGTGGGCGCAAGGTAGGTAACAAGTCAGGTAGAGGAGAACAACTCTGACAGCCACGTTGGCTATCCTGGCAGACAGCCTCTAGATACCTGGTGGAGATTGGAGCCTGGCTCCAGGGGTTTGAATCCTAGCTCTTCCAGCTGTGAGCCCCGAAGCATGTTAGATAGTCCTGCAGAGTCTTGATTTCCTTTGTAAAATGGAAACCGTAAGACTACCCATCTCGTAGGTATCGGTATTAGATAAAGCATGCAAATCTCCTAGCAGGTAACTGGCACCCGAGTGCAGTCGGGGTGTGATGGGAAGGGTTTCAGGAAAGGACCCTAAAGTGTGCCTTTGAGCCTGTCGCATCTGTGTCGGCTTCTGGCCCCATCTCAGGCCCCTGCAGGTGTTCAGTGTGATTGGTGGACCCCAGGCGCCACTTCTGTCCTCCCTAAGCCCTGGGGTATGCCAGGGCATGTGCCAACCTTTGCTGCTCCTTCTTGGGGCAGCTGGCAGGAAGGAAGGCCTGGAGGAGCCCACAGCCAGCCGCTCTGGGCCTTGCAGGTGGCCTGGCAAACCATTTGCACCACAACTCTCTGTCCGACCCCTACCAGGTTCCACATGTGCCAGAAGCTCAGGCCAGCCGGGCGGGTGTCCCAGTTGTCACCCTATGGCTGTGGTTTTACCTCTTCCTAGAACTTCTGGCCACAGGGCAGCGTGAGGCAGGAATGGCGTGGGGCTGCAGGGAGCCCGCTGTCTCCCTAGCTTGCACTCAGAGGAGGCAATCTCGACCCTTTTGAGCACACATGGTACCCCAACACTGAGACCTGGAGACTAATCCTGGCAGGGATCAGCACACCCATGACAGCTGACACTCCATCGTTCAGCTTCCTGAGATGACTCCAGTGACATCCTGCTCCCTAGGGCCCCATGATCAAGAGGACAGAAACATCATTTTTATTTTTGCAAAAGGCTCAGGTCTAGCATGGGATGATGGGACAGGAATCAAAGCCCACTTCAGGCCAGTTGATCCTGCACACCTGCCTCCTCCTGGAAGACCCAGTGGGCATGGTTGGATCCCTGCAAGCCTCTGTGCATCAGGACCTCGAGAAATCTGTGTCCAGGTCCCAAGCATTGTTTCTCCCAAGCAGGGTGGCAGAAAAATACAGTTGTCCCCACAGAGAGGCAAGGCCTGCTGTCTTCCAGCTGGCATTTCTGCTTCTAGATACCAAATTCACACCTTGGGGGACGCTGAGCGTTTTCCTGTTGTGTGCTCTTCCTATGGAATGACTTCGAGATGCGGTCACACCAAGAAACAAGGGAATGGATGCAAGTCATGGACCTTCCATGTCACCTTGGGCAGGCTCTTCTTTCAAGATATAAGGAACCCTCTTCTCACCCCGCAGACTGAGATTCAGGACATAAAACAACCGTTTAGGCTGCTCTATTCTGAGGAGAAGCCTCAGAAAAGGGCATTATTTTCTTCTTGAACAATTTTATGTTCTCGAACAACTTTATAGCTCCTGCTGTTTTAAAATGTTAGTGTTTTTAATTAATGCCATTTTATTGTCCCTGTTCTCTCAAGCTCTTCTCCTGAAGGGCACAGTTTTAGAAATCTAATAACTGAATAAGTAGCTAGTGTGAGGAATAATACATTAACATTTATAGAGGTTCTTAGATGAAAGCCACCGTGCTGTAGGAAGCTCATTTTAGATTTAAGAAAAGAGCAGTGTTACATTAAGATTCTTGCAGAAAATAATCAATATTTCATTTCTTTCAAGTGGCTGGGGAAGTTTATATAATTATTATCATGCACGACTTTCCTGAGATAATATCTTGACTTAAAATTGACTGCCGAGTATTTTGTAAAAAATTACCATTTATACCCAGACAGATTGCGAAGGCCGTAACATGTGTCACGTGTGCAGAAATTAACCGCAGATTTGCACAATTGTGGGCAATGCAGAGATAGCAGGGACTGCTGCTGGTTAAGCTTTGTCTGATCTGTTATCAAGATGCGTTGATAAGAACTCTTCTGTAACAGGCTTTTGATTGACATTTTCCCCATGTTTTCTGTAAATTAACCACTCGGGCATATGAGTGATTCTTTCAGGGCTCATGCAGTCGTTCTATTAGCTCACGTGCCTTGGGGCTGTGTGCCTAGTGCTGGCTGTCCTCTGGGCCTACCATGTGCAGGTTACCTGCTCCTGAGGAGAAAGGCAGGCAGAGGTCAGTCTGCCAAGGGCAGGGATGCCAACTTTTGACCTAGACTCTGGTACTTGGCACTCATGAAGCAGCTTGCCCTCCACATCTCTCTGAAACTGGTGGAGAGGTGGAGCTGGGCTCTTGGGGGAGTGGGAAGCCCACTATGGCTATTCTATGGCTCCAGGACTAGTCACACGCGAGGTGCGGTCCGCAGCCTCCTGGGTACCCCCAAGATGCTTTCAGGGCGGCTGTTAGGGGAAGCCCATTTCCATCATGACAGGACGACATTGCCTGCCCTTTTTGCTGATTCTCTGGAAAGTGGGATCAGTTTCCAGAGCCCGTGTAATGGGTGATAGCATTGCAACCTACTGCAAGAGCAGATGTCAGGGTTTGGTGTCTTCCCCGCTGTTGATCCAACAATAACATTTGCCAAAACAGAAAATGGTGCCTCTCTTTGGAATAATTTTTTTTGTTGTTGCAGGAAACAAGTTTCTCATAGGAATGTGTTATTTCCATTAGCATTGAAATGCTTTACTATTTAATAAATAACTAATAAATATTTTGCAGTTTCTCAGTTTCACCTTCTATTGCAGTAAAAGTGTGTAGACTACATCCCATACATAGAAGCCCTTTTGGGTTCTCAATAATTCTTAACAGTTTAACCAGATAGTGACCAGACAGTTCACCCGACCCAGTGACTAAGAAGCCACAGAATCCAGCAGCCAGGTCCAGACAGAGCTGGGGTGAGTTGGCCATCGGCAGGTGGTTTTACCATTCCCCCATCCAGGGAATAAGGGGCGTGTGGAGTAGGGCTAATTTGGTGCTTATAAACTTAAAAAAATACAACAGAGGGGCTGGGGATTTAGCTCAGCGGCATAAGCGCCTGCCTTGCAAGTGCGCAGTCGTGAGTTCAATCCCCAGTACCGATTAAAAAAAAAATACAACAGAGCCTCTTTCCAACTAAGATCTTTCTCAGGAACCCAGTGTGTTCCAGACAGAAGCTCAGTTCCTCCCGTAAAAGAGGAGGGCACCCAGACCTCTTTCCTCACCTGCCTCTTCTCCTGGAGCACAGTTTGAGAACTTCTGACCCAGACATCCTGTAGGACCCTCTACCTGTGCTCTTCCTTTTCTCTTCCAGGTACCCAAAGCACAGCTGCTCAAGGACATCTCTTACCTGCTTTGGCTGGGCTGGGATTCCCAAGAGGCACCAGTGAGGCTGGAACTGGGCAGCTGAAGTGGGACACTCCACTGGTGGTGGGGAGCTGTCCTTCTGACGAAGGGCAGGGGGTTGAGGGAACACAGAGCCATTCTCCTCTGTGAATCTCCTTTCATTCTGGGCCCTGAGCTGCTCCTCCAGCACACTGCTGGAGTCCCTAGAGGGGCCTCAGGCTCTGGTGGCAGTGACTGTGGGGACGATTTGGCTTCAAACAGAGCCAGTGTAGCAGGACAGAAAATGGCAGATACCTTGGCTGAGGGGGCTTGGCTGTCTTCAGAGTCTCTCGTGTCCCTCTGCCCCTGAGATGTGGACACTGCGGGGGACAAGGAAGAAACAGGGGAAGAGGAGCTTGCTTCTGTGAGCTGGGCAGGAGGGCTCCCTGGGTGCAAGCTGGGAGACTTGGGTTCGGAGGCTGAAGGTCCCTTCTTTGCTGGTGGTGGACTTGGCACCTTGGGGTTCACTGGTGGGCTGGGAGCTCCAGGGCTGAGTGGTGGGCTGGGGGAGCTGATCACCGTGGGGAGACTTGGCTGGGCCAGGCCACGGGAGGAGGACAGGCCATGCAGTCTCTTGTCTGCGTGAGGCGCCCAGTGTGCCTTTGTGGGTGAGGCCTTTCTGATCACCGGGGGGCTTCTCTCCCGGCTCAACCTGGGGGGCTGTGCAGAGTGAGCTCCTCTTGTGGGTCTTGCCAGGTTGGGGACCGAGGTCTTGCTTTGCCCAGATGTAAGGCTGGTGTGATGGCAGACAACTGCCTTCCGGGGTTGCTTGGAGGTGCTTGTGGCCTTTGCAGCTTGTGCCTGACTCTGAGCCCTGCTCTCCCGCCCTGAGTCTGGGCAGGCTGCCGGCGGGAGACGGGGATCCGAGACTGGCTTTCTGGGACTGCTGCCTCTCTTGGTGCCCCCCAGCCCCGTGCTGCGCAGTGTGGTGGGGGTGGCAGTGCACTTGCTGGGCAGCAGGTCAAGGGGGCTCATGGAAGCTCTCAGCTTTGGGGAAGCCCATGTTCCTGAGGCAGGACCAGGTCCCCCCAGCCCTGGTGCTGGGGTCCCTTCAGGGGAGCTTCCTGCTGGATTGCTGCTTTCTAGGGGCTCCAGAGAAGTGAATGATTTGTCTATCAGGATTTCCAGAGGCGGTGGAGGGAGATGCTCTGAGTCCCCCTCTGTTTCATAAAGTGCATCCTCACACCTAGACACTCCTGCTGCAGGCAAAGGAGGAGAGACAGGCGCCAAGGGCCTCCAGCCTGCCCCTGCTTTGAAATAGTTGCTGCCTACTGCTGGAGAGATTTGGGGCTTGGCATACAATGGAGCAAGCCCCCTGTAAATGGGAAATCTGGGAGGCATGATGGGGACTCCCCACTTCCTGAGACTGGGGCTGGACCCCGAGTTCTTAGTATCCCCTGGTGTCCTCAAGCTCTCAGTGGGACTGAAAGTTTCAATAAGTTTTTTGACGGATGTTCTGGTGGGACAGCCCGGTACAATGCAGTCCTTGGCTTTGGAGGCCTCATGATCCTTTTCAGCCAATGGGATGGTGCCACGTAGCTTCTCAGCGTTTCCCTGCTGGGGCTGTTCGCTTTCAGGGTGCAGACTACATCTCTGCCAGATGTTCTTGTCCTGGCTGGGCAGGATGCTGAAGTCCTTGGAGAGGGATGCCTTGAGCTTGTGGATGGTGCTGTTGGGACTCACCCTGCACTTGCTGGTGGCCCACAGAGCTGCTGCCCTGGGCTGCTGAGTCTGCCCCTGTCTTTTGGCCTCCAACGCATAAAACACCTCCAGCCTCTGACTGAGATCTCTCTGGACCCTCTGCAGTTCCTGGAGGGTAGGGTCCTCCTCGTAGCTCTTAAGACACCCCTCTGACTGGGACCTCCTCTGCCTCTCCAGGGCCCTCCTCCCGCCGCTGACTGTGCTAGGTCTGTGTGGGATCATTGTCCTCCCCTCCTCTTCCTCAGCCCAGTCTTGATGTCCAGCAGGGACAGGCACAAACTTGATCCTTTCACTGATGGCTTCCTTCATTTTCAGAATCATCTCCCGGGCCTGGGGGCTCCTAAGCTTCCTGGAGCATGGCTGCAAGAGGCTTTCTCTGTCAGCAGGTGAAGACCGTGGCCTTGAACACGGAGCTCTGTCCTGCCCTGTGCACAGACTCATGCTGCTAACCTCATTGTCCTCCTCCTCTGGGCTGCTGTCCTCACCTGCACTGAAGGATAAAGTCGCCATCAGCCTGGAGCTTTTAGGAAGATGTGCTTTTGTGGGGGCTGCAATCCCCAGGGGATCACATGGCCTGCTCTTGTCTCCTGCCGAAGGCCAGGAGGTGGTTGTTTCTGCATCTGTGCTGGAGTGGCATGGCCTCCCCGCTTCACCCTGCATTATGGGCTGGATCTTTGTCATGAGGGGCTTTGACAGTGGGCAGTCATGGGCTCTGTGTGGACCTGTCCAGATTATACCTTGCTGCCAGGCCTGTCCTGACAAACTGGTCTCCATCTGGGGTGAAGTCCCCAACTTCCATTCTACATGCTCTGGTGCGAAGTCCCAGCTGGCTTGCTTCCCTAGCTTGTCCATGGATTGCACGGACTCATTGTCAGCACCAATGCCACTGTCCTCAGAGCACAAGGGTAGATCGTGCAGCCCAGGGTCACCATGGCCACTTGCGAAGCTCTCTAGCTGCCCCAGTGTCCTTAGCAGGCATTCCTCCACACCTCTCTTCCTGCTCAGCTTCTTTTCCAAGTGGCTTGCAGTGGAGTGGAGGTAGCCGCTAGAGCCCTCCAGGAGGCTGCCAGTGAGGGTGGCCACTGTGCCATGGAGTGCCTGTAGCTTGCTGACCGTGTACTGCAGAAGCTGTTGCAGGAGGTCTGGCTGTTCCTGGGCCTCTCCTTTCCTCGGTGGCCAAACCAGATTGTCCCTAACCTCCTGGAGGAGCACTTCTCCATCCCTAGAGATCTCTCCCAAGAGCTGGCTAACCTCCTCAAAGCACAGCAGCAGGAAATGGAGCATGGGCTGCAGCAGCTCCCGGGTCTGGGTGGCCTGATGGATGAGGCACACGATGGCTTCGTACCTGGAGAGGCTGGAGTGCAGGTAGGTGTAAGCACGCTGGTGAGCCTTTACTAGGGGGTCAGGGAAGTCCACTTTGCCTGTAGACCCAGGAGTAGAAAGGATGGTTTGGTAGCAGTGGCCTGGTTTGGAGGTCTCTGGGGTAACATTAGGTGAGCTCTCTTTCCCAGGAAACGCTGCTTCTCGGGGCCCATGAGAGCCTGGTGTACTGAATGGGATGTCCTCAGCCATGTGGCAGGTTTGGGTCTCTGGCATCAGTCCTTCCATATCTCCCATGAGCTGACAAAGACCTTCAGTCACAGTTTGAGCCCTCTTGGAACTTGGTGACTCCTCTGCCAGCCTCCGTCCCTGGGGAAGACTCCCCACAGCATCATAACAGGTAGAACTTTTCACCAGCAAAGGGACAGAAGCCCTTTTACCGCTCCCCTGATGTCCTGGTAGAACTGCTTTGGGCTTTTTCAAAAACTGAATGCCGCTCCTTGCAACGCTGTGTACAATGTCGCTGTGTGAAGGTGTGCAGCCCATGATGTCCACCCACAGCCTTCACAGCTTTCTGAGAATCATCTCAGACACAGGAGCCCAGAGGCAGTCTTACTGGTCCACGCAGGCAATTCTAAGAGTCCTTTGAAGTCCATGGTGCAAAGTCCTAGATATGGAACCAGCTTTCCTCACCTTCTTGGTCCCACTGTGAAGCAGGAATGGTGTCTGTCATCTGTGTCCTTCGAAGTTTCAAACTTTCTGCTGGTAGTGAGAAGTGGGACAATTCCAAAGCACCTAGGCGCGTGGATTATGAGCCTGTGTTTTGCTTGTGTCTCGACAGATGTGGATGGCAAGTGGAACTTTAAGCCTATTAGGTTAATCATGCCCTAGCCAGTCAGCACTCACAGTGTGTGCCAATATAGAAGTTCTCAGCGCTTACTATCTTGGGAAGCGGATTATTTTTGCATGTGCTTATGCTTTTAATTCTGTTCAGATGCCTGCCATATGAAACCTAGAGAAATTAGCTGTGATTGTGAAAGCCTCTGGAAGAGACGCATTTGTCGATGAGAAGACAAGGCTTGAGAATTACAGACTCCAGAAGAAATGTGACCTTCACAGCTTAACAAGGGCAAACCGATGGAGTGTGCTCCAATCTGTTATCAAGAGGACCCTGAACATGCAATGGACAACAACCAAGCTGTGCATTGTTGTCTTTGAGGCTTGTAAAACCCTGTGGCCATAGTGATGGACATCTTTAAATAGTAGGGAAGTGAACGAACAAGAGACGATTGCTTTCCTCTGTATTAGCACATTGAGTTAGATTGCAGGAAAGCCATCCTTCCTGGCTTGGAGGGAGAGGACAGGGAAACTTACTGCCAGATAAAGTATAAAGTCAGTCGCTATGGACCACGGAGACTCAGGGGCCAATGCTCTCCTGGGAAGAGACTTTTTGTTAGATTTTTCTCATGAGAAAACAAGCAACACCCTGGCAGTGGAGAGTCATTCAGTCATTAGGAGTAGGACTCAAGGGGGAAAATGTGTTTCTGTCTGCAAGCACATCTTTCTGTTCAGTCTGAGCGGAGTGCCCTTGGCAAGGGTATCAGCTTAAAATTCTTTTTATAAACCTCATTTGCTGTCAGTAAAGTCTAGAGCAAGAATTCAGAGAAGGGAGATTTGGGTTTGGAATGTGACTCCTTATGCTTTGAGTTGGAGAACTTTGCTGAATCAGAGATCATCTTTAAAATGGGGACCGTGGTGCTTACTTTACTGAGCTCTTGTGGGGATCAGCGCTTGGATAAGTTTCTTACCACATGCCTGGACAGGGTAGGTATTAAAAACAAATCCTTATTCCTTTCACCCCGGAAGCTAAGGCAAACCATGACTCTTCCCTGAATTGTCTGGAAATAATTTCCAGCTATAGGTCTTGGAGTATTCTAAATCTGGCTTGTTTGTTCATTTGTCAACCCATGTCTGGGTTGAATGGCCCTGTGTTTGGTGGATGGCTGCCTTAAGGTTTTCCTAAGGCTTTAATGTATAATTTCTCTGCTCTTAAGCACAGTGTCACAGTGATTTCCCAAGTCTGTAAGAGGTTTTTATTTAGCCATTTCCCATTTTTGGACATCTGAGTTGTTGCCAATGTTGAATATTCTTAGTAAAAAAAAAAATTTTGCCCTGAACATCTCTGAAGGTGCTGAGATTGGAGTTAATATTCTTCACTTTCCCCCTGGAAGTTTGTACAAAAATCATCATAACACTGTGGGTGTTGGATGTCTCAGAGACAGAGAGCACTGAGAGCCATCTTGTGTCCTGTGCTATGAATAAGCTGGAGACCCATTCCTAGGGCTTTGTATGGAGCCTGATGCTGGTTGCAGCCTGATGCCCCAGAGTGCATCATTAATAAAGTTCCCGGATCTGTTTATTTGAAGCAGAACTCTGGGGAATTCCAAGCTGAATCAGTTCCTGGGGGCAAGCCGTGTTCAGCGTCAAGCTGTTGTTTCATTTGTCACCATGCTGGGCTGGCCAGTAAACAGAGATGCTGAGCGTGGATGCTGACTGTTCTTTCCCCTCTGGGTCTTTCATGGAACAGAACCAAAGCTCATCTGAAGGATGCATTATGTAAATTCTTCTGCTCTTGGGATTTGGGCCTTTGCTTGAATTTTCTTTGTAAAAACCTTTGATTTAAATTATTTCTTAACCCATGATCAAAATCAAAGAATTTGCCTAGAGGCTCAGTCATCAGGTAGCTCTGTATGTTTTAGGATGGTTTCAGGACTATCATGGATAATTCAAAAGTAAGGTGTTTATACACTGCCATTCATTTTTTCATTAAGACCAACCTTTTCCCTCCCTCTTTTTAAATTGCACTTGTTTCAAATGGAAAAAGACCTCTTTGGGTGGGAATTTAAATGGTGTTACTTTGGAAAACTGATATCTACACATGTATCTCACAACCCGTCCATTCCATTCCTAAGAATTTATCTGAGTGTTAATCATAAGCCACTAAGAGACTGGCACAAGAATATTCATGGTAACTCGATTCAGGTCTATCACTAGGGGAATGCATTTGATATAATTATACAGTGGGATACTACCCCAAATAAAAAGAACAAACTAGTGAAACATAACAACTTGGATAAATTTAAAAATAATTATTTGAGTGAAACGAGCCAGATACAAAGAGTTATGTAGAAATTTCTGCTATATGGAGTTCAAGAACAGGCAAAACTAATCTATGGGGTTATAGAACATGAAAGTTTTCAACAAACATATATGGATTGATTTTGGTTGTGGAGGTGAGACAGTTTCGCAGGGTGCTGGAAGTGGTTTGTACATTGATCTGGTTGGTGGTTATATAAAGATGTAAAAATTGTTTAGTTGTGCAGTTAAGTTGTCATGCTTTGTTTACAATGCTCTAATTAAAATGTTACACAGTTTGTTTTACACTTTAGCAGAGTTGTAGCTGTGATGCTGTTGGTCTTAGATAAGGGTACTTATGTTAGTTTTCTGTTATTACATAATGAATGACCCCCAGATTTATCAGGTATTATCTCCATTTCTGTGGGTTAGAAATCTGAAAGCAACTCAGCCGGGCAGTTCTGGCCAGGGGTCTCTTGTGAGGTTGCCATCCAGATGACAGCCACGGTCCAGACATCTGAAGGTTTCCCTGGGGCTGTGCTATTGGTTCTTAGAGAAGAGCTATTGAGGCCTTGCGAGCTGTTTGCAGGAGACCTCAGCTGCTCATGACGTGGGCTCCCCATGGGGTAACTGCACTGTCCTTCAAATGTGGCAGCTGGTTTTGCCCGGGGCAAGTGGTCCAGGAGAGACCAAGGAGGGAGCTGCTATGTTCTGATCTCAGGGCTCATCTTTGCTTTCCCTGTGTTTTATTTTGAGTCAGGGTTTACATCTTAAATGTTCCCCCAAAGCCTCATGTGTTTGGAAGCTGATTGGATCGTACGGGTGCTACATCCATCAACGGATTCATCTATCTATCAGCTCCGTTGCTGAATGTGCTGTTAGGAGGTGAGGCCTGGTTAGAGGGGGGTCATGGGGTGAGGGTGTGGGGTGGCCTGGAAGTGTTTATCTTCTGCCTCCTCTCTTGATCACTCTCTGCTTCCTGCGGCCTCTCCACAAGCTGTTTCTCCTCTGCCATGCTGCTCTGCCTTGGACCAGCAGACTACGGTGAAACCTCTTCAAACTATGAACCACAATAAATATTTCCTCCTTTACGTTGCGGTGTCAGGTATTATGTCTCAGCAATGAGAAAGCAACCAAGGCAATCATTCTCCAGGGGAAAAAATTAGATTCTACCTTTAAAAGTTACTTTAAAAGAGATCTGGCCTTATCACAAGTCAAGCAGTGACATCTATATCATTGCGTATAGTAAATATTAGCTTATTTAGGTGCCACTCCCTGCTGTTCAGTGCATTGAAAATCTCTACTCCATTTTGGTTCATGTGGTCCTGCACCGAATTTATCAGCAAGAGATAGTTCCATTTTAACCATTTTAGTGGTACCAATTTTGGCCAAGTCTGAATATCATTCAAACATTGTCTACCTGATGGCGCATGCCTGTAATCCCAGCATTTGGAAGGCTGAGGCAGGAGGATCATTGTGAGTTCAAGACCAGCCTGAGCTACAAAGTGAGCTCAAGGCCAGCCTGAACTGTATAGGGAGACCCTGTCTCAAAAAGATAAAAAAGGAAACAAAAAAAAAATCAAAAACCAAAAAACACTGTCTAGAATTTTATACAGTGAAATCATATAGCATTTAATGTTTTGGTTAACTCTTTTCCTCAATATAGTTAATATTGAGAGTCATGTCACTTTGTATATATTAATAATTCATACCTTTTTATTGCTGAGTAATATCATGAGCACTTTTTTGGTGTTCTCAGTAGCATTATTTTTTTATTTTAAACAGGAAAAACAATAAAAACAAAGTTACAAAATTTCAAGACAACATATTAGTAGCACTAAAGACGAAGACAACCCAAGTGTTTATCAACTAGTGGTTATCTAAAGGTGGTAAATACATTTAAATGGAATATTATTCAACCATTAAAGGATGTTAAACACTGATATGTGCTATAACACTATGCCTATACTTAATGCCAGTGAATTGTACACTTTAAAATGGTTAAAAAGATGAATTTTATGTCATATTATTTTAACATGGTAGTAGTAATATACGCCATATAGAAAACACAGATAAACTTAAAGTAAAACAAAAATCTGTCATCTGTATTTGTCTGTCCTAGCTCTTTCTGACTCAATACAGTTTGCTCTACATGCAATTTGTAACCTAGTTTAATATGTCATAAATTGATGTTTGTATCATCAAATATGCTTTACAGAACTTTAATGGCTACAATATTCCATTGAGCTAAAGAAAGACATTTTATTTGGTCAGATTCTTATTACCGAACAGTTAAGTTAAATGTATTGTAAAGAGTACTGAAATATCTCTGTAGGTAAATCCTTGCCATGTTTGGGACTATTTTCTAAGGATAAACTCTGGGATGTGAACTTGCTTAGCTAAATAAAGCAAATATTAAAGAAAATTGATAGACTTAATTTTTTAAGAATAGTTCTAGATTTAAAAAAAAATGGAGCCCAGAATTACCATATACCTTTCTCTCTTACAATGTTTCCCTTATAATTCACATCTTAGGTTACTATGGTGCTTTTGTGATAATTTTGTCATTTTGTTTTGTGGCGCTGGGGTTGAACCCAGGGCCTTCATATGAGCCACATCCCCAGATCTTTTTTTATTTTGAGGCAGGGTCTCACTAAGTCTACAGGATGCTCAGGGGGGGCTCTCACTTGGGATCCTCCCAGCCCAGATGCTGGAGTAATAATGCATCAGTACTGACACACAGTCATTTACTGAAGCCAGCACTTCGGTCAGACTTCCTGAGTGTTTATCTGTGTCCGCTTTGTTCCAGGATCCCACCCAGGACACCTTTCATGGCCAGATCTCCTGAGGCTGCTCCCAGTGAGGACGGTTTCCCAGGCTTTACATTTTGACGACCCGGAGGTTTGAGGTGTACAGTCAAGTGTACCATAGGGTACTCCTCCCCTGAGATTCGTCTGACATTTTTCTCATGTCTAATCTGGGGTGTATACTGGGGGAGGAAGACATGGAGGCCGTGGGCCAGTTTCATCACATCTCCTCAAGGGCACGTATTGCCAGCCTGGTTTACAGTTGTTGGTATCGACCTTGGTCACCGAGCTGCAGTCACGTGTGTCCTGATTTGCCGTTTGCAGTCCCTCTGCCCCACTTCCCAATCCTGTCCTCTGAAGGTGAAGCCGATGTAAAAGTGCCAAACATCAGTGCTTTTAAAGCTTCCGCTACAGACTGTGACGTTACTTTCCAGAAAGATCATGTTAGTTTTTATTCCCAATAGTGGTATAAACATTCACTTTATTGCAAGCTTGTCAGCCTTAGCCATTAGCTTTTAGAAGCCTTCGCTAAGCCTGGTTGGTAATACACATCCATCATCCCAGGGCTTGGAGGCTGAGGCAGGAGTATCAGGAGTTCAAGGCCAGCCTGGGGTACACAGGAAGACAGGGTCTAGAAAACAACAAATAAATAAATGTCTGCTGATTTGAAAGAGGAAAAAATGGCATTTCATGTTAATTTGCATTTACTGGTTTATTATTTTTTTCATTTACTGGTTTATTAAGAGTTTGTATTTTTTGGTAAGAAATATGTGATGGTCATTTGTGTATTTTCTTTCAGAGATTCCCTACACATATCCTTGGTTCATTTTTTAAAATTAGGATGCTTATCTGTATTTTGCTGATTTTCAGAATGATAACATTTCGTTCAATACTTGTACTACTAGCCTGGTAAAAAGAAGTTTTCCTTTTGCCTTTAAATTTTATATTGTGAAACAGAATTTTCATTTTATATCATTGGCTCATCAGTCTTTATAATTTCTATCTTTAGTATCATGTTTAGCAAGTCTGAATTTATATATGCATATGTCTATATTTATTTACTTATTCCTCTTGAGGCAGGGTCTCACTCTGTAGTTCAGGCTGGTCTTGAACTCACTACATAGCTCAGGCTGGACTTGAACTCATGGCAATCCTCCTGCCTCAGCCTCCCAAGTGCTGGGATTACAGGTGTGTGCCACCACGCTTGGCTAAATTTACATTTTGTAGAATATTTGAATCAGCTTATACTGAGAAAGTAATTGTTTAAAGTTGGGATACAATACAGGAGGCCTTGGTCTGACTGGCGCTTGGACCAAGAACCAAGATACCAAGATACAGAACTGGATACCTTTCAATATGAATAACAGTAAACCATGACCTCTTAAAGAATTCTGGGATTTTTTTTAAATGTTTATGAGAGTCTCAAAAGTGGAACTGAACTGAATGACACACAACACTAAGTTCTTGAGCAAAACAAAGCAAAGCAAATGGTGGACAACCTCAGTAGGCATTTGAAGATGTGTGTGTGTGCACCGAGTGAGAGCTGTGCCTCGGAGCCATGGCTGTGACATAATGAGATACGTGTTTTCACCACCTGTATCAGTTTGCTACGGCTGCTGTGACAAAAACCCAGAGGCCAGGCTGTTCAGAGACAGAGATTTATGTCTTCACAGTTCCGGGAATCTGAGATCAAGATGGTGGCCATGTTGACTTCTTCTGAGGTTCACTCCTTGAGTTGTAGATAGTTGTCCTCTCCCTGTGACCTCCCATGGCTGTCCCTTTGTGTGGCCATGTGTTTCAGGATGGGAAGGAAGGGAGGAGTAACTTTTCAGGACCAACTCTTCTTGGAAGGACACCAATCACATGGGGGCACTTTGGACACAGTCATCTCCTGATATGATTTTCCATCTCCATGTGCTCATCAGATTCCCTCTGTGTCGCCTGGGCACATTTCCATACAGTCCTGGAAGCCACCGTTTTGGGTAGAGGCACCAGAATCAAAGTTCCTGGAACTTTGACTTTGAAAACAAAAGGGTCCACTTGGATAGAGAAGGCCTAGAAGGGGATGGGACAGCTAGGAGAGTTGGGGTGGAGAAGAGTTTGGGGAGAAGCCACAGGGTCCCATGTGAATGTGGGGCTCTCTGTGCCCCACCTCTGACCTCAGGCCTCATCTATAGGGGCCTGGGAAGATGAGGTGCGTGTGCCTCCATCCCTGACCGCAGCCTGAAGCTGGGAAAGGGCAGGCTGGTAAGCTTGGGAAGAGATGTACCCTGTCACCTAATGTGGCCAAGTGGGAATCATGGCTAGGTACAAACGAGGGGAGGTTGTCTACCCCAGCTTCCCACAGGTCATCACGGAATGGGAGGCCTTTCACACCAGAAGGGTTCCACGCAGGACAAAATTTTGCAAGGAAAGAGCACCAGGGAATCTGCCAAGAATGAGGTGTGAATACAGAGCTCTGCTGACCACGAGGTCATCCTGGTCACCTGATGAACACAAGGAGACAGAAAACCAGATGATACAGTGATCTCCAGAGCCAGATAGAACGAGATTATCTCCAAGGAGGATAATCATCAGATAACACTTGAGGAGTTCAGATTCATTTCTGGGAAAGACAAGACAAGAGAGACAGGCAGAAAGAGGGAGTGAGAGAGGGACAAGGAGAGAGGAAAAGAGAGAGAGAGACAGAGAGAGACAGACAGACAGAGACAGAGAGGGAGAGACAGAGAATTTTATATTCAGTTGTGACTGAATTATAAACTTGACTAAGACATGACTGAATCTAAGTGAGTTTATCTGAAATGACTAGATTAAATTTTCTCTGCATTGAGGCAGAATGGAGGCTCAAGGCAAAAATTACACTCAATTATAGGAGAATAGAGAAAATTGCATTTTTGCACACTCAAGTCAGTGACTGTGAAATTTGTACTGGCTCCAACAATTACAGGCAGCCAGGTGTCAGTAAAATCTCAAGAACAGAACAAGGAATCATTATGTGCTGTTCTCTCAAGTTATTACCCGACCTCACCAATTGCTCAAAAGGCCAGCACAGTGCTTTATCATCAGAAATCATGATTAAACTCACTCAAGCTTTTATTCATAATGTTCCCTTTATAGAAGAATGCATAGCCAAGTCTTGTGAGGTAGAAAAATGTTTTTCGGAGACCTGAGGCGGCCCAGTTCAGATGGTAATCCCTAAAGTCTCAGGTAGGGCTGGATAGCTCCTTTTGCCCCAATAGATCTTCTCTGCACACTTGTGTCCCTATGCCCTTGGAAGCAGATTCCTAGGGCATCACTAGGGCTGCTCTCCTTGGGGTGCATTGACAGGAAGGAGCTCATAGGAAGGGAGAAGACCGAGTTGGGATATTAGCTCCCCATCTTCCCATCCTGGTCTCCATAGGCTGGCTGCAGCCCTCTCCGTATGGCTGTCTTCTCCGGGTTCCAACATCCAGTCTTTGTTTTCAGGCCAGGGTAGTAATGTGCCGTGCAAGGGTGTGCTCTTTTCTTTGGAAGGCCTCCAAAGACTTTACTCACACCCTTAAAAATGATCATCTCTATTAAACAGCTCTCTAATTCTTTACTGAGTCTGCTGTGGTGGTGTTGGCTGACGCTTTGGAGAAAGTTATGCACCATTTTCATGAGTATGGGAGTGGCCCATGCTGATGCAAATTACACAAAGAGACTGTTTTCCCTGTGTAGCTTTGAGGAGGACTAAGGATTTCCTATGTGACACAAGCAAGTTGGTCTTTTGTGTGTGATTCTGTTTGTACTTCTAGATCTTTAAAGTCTTAGGGTTTTCATTATAAATAGTAATTGTTGCTGTGGATGTGAAAAAATGATTATCAATAGAAACTTCTGGGTACTAAGAGACTGGCTGTTCCTTTTAGAGCAGAAGAAAGCGCTTCTAAGCTATAGGGTTATTAGGTTGATGGCTGAGAATTTGTGCTTGGATTAAAAAGGGAGCAGTGTTACTGGAGTTCTGGGGTACTGAAGACTCTCTCCAGAGATTTTTTTCTAGATTCTTTGGGGTCTTGGACAAAGAATTGGTTAAGACAAGTGGAAAAGGTAGCAATGCTTTACATTTACTAAAAGTAGAAATGAAATATGCTCTGCTGGGGAAAGAAGAGAACCAAGAACAAGAAAATAACATGACAAGGATAAGTCGATACATATCAGTTATAGGCATCAATGTACATGGCCCCAACTCACCAATCAAAAGAAACAGACTGGGTCAGTATGCAATATCCAACAATAAGCTTCATACAAGAAACACATTTAATTAAGAAATAAGTAGACTGAAAGTCAAAGGATGGAAAACAATATTCCATGTGATAGGATCCCAGAAAATAGTAGGGTAGCTGTTCTATTTGCAGACAAAGTGGATTTCAAGCCAAGACAGAATAAGAGACACAAAGAAGGAACCTTGTAAAGGGACCAATCCAAGAGACAGAGATAACAGTCATAATATACATGCAACAAATATCAGTGCACTCAATTATATAAGCACATATTAACAGCCATGAAAAATCAAATAAGCACTAATTCAATTGCAATGAGGGACCTAAATACCTCATTGTCAGAAATACACAGATCAACAAGATTAAAAAATCAATAACGAAATATTAGAACTAACCAGTCTTTTGAATAATTGAGCTTACTAAACATCTACAGAGTGTTCCACCTCACAACATCAGCATACACATTTTCAGCTACACATGGATTTTCTCCAAAATAGGCCACATACTAGCTCACAGAATATGCTTAAGTAAATAGAAAGGAATTAAAATTATTCCATGCATATTATCAAATCATAATGCAATGAAATTGGAAATCAATGGTAAACTAAACCCTAAAAACTTCATAAACACATGGAAATTAAATGACATCTTCTGAGTAACCAGTGGGTCACAGACGAAGTTAAAAGAGAAATCAGACAGCTTCTACAGTAAAACAGTAATGCCACTAAAACACACCGGAACTTATGGAATGGAATGAAAAGCAGTCCTATGAGGGAGATTTAGAGTGGTGAATACCCATCTCAGAAAAACAGAAAGAGCTCAAATAAACAACCTAACATTCAACTTCGAGCTTTTAGGAAAAGAAGAGCAAGTCAAGCCCAAAGCTCATACGTGGGAGGAAATTATAAAGATCAGAGCAGAAATTAATGCAATGGTGGCTAAAAAGACAACCCAAAGAATCAATGAATTGAAAATTCAATTCTTTGAAAGATTAAATAAAATTGATAATCCGTCAGGCAATCTTATTTAAAAAAGGAAAGAAAATGCTGAAATCCATGCAGTTAGGAACCATAACAGATCCTGCAGAAATCTACAAGATCACAGTACACACTTCGAGACTCTATATTCTTTTTTTTTTTTTTTTTTTTTTTTTAAATCGGTACCAGGGATTGAACTCATGACTGCCTGCTTGCAAGGCAGGCACTTATGCCGTTGAGCTAAATCCCCAGCTCCAAGATTCTGCATTCTAATAGGATGGAAAATAAGGAAAAAATGGGCAGATACATATGTACATATGAATTAGGTACATATGAATTACCAAAGCTGAATCAAGAATATATGAAAATTCTAAATAAACCAGTCAGTAAAATTAAAGATATAATTAAAAACCTACCAATAAAGAAAAGTTCAGGCCCTGATAGATTCACTGATGAATTCTATAAGAAATTTAGAGAACATCTAATGCCACTACCTCTTAAACCCTTTAATAAAATTGAAAGTGAAGGAATTGTCCCAAATTTATTCCTGGAAGCGAGCATTATCCTGATACCAGAACCAGAGAAGGACCCACCCATCAAAGAGAACTACAGGCCAGTCTCGCTAATCAAAATAGTTGCAGAAACTCTCAGTGAGATACTGTCATCAAGTAGATCACACACCATGACCCAGGGATGCAGGGATGGTTCAACACATGTAAATCAATCATTGTAACACACTGTATTAATAGGGCCAAGGACAAAAACCAGTGATCTTCTCAATATGTGCAGAAAAAGTGTTTGAAAAATTCCAACACCCATTCATGATTTAAGAAAACCACAACTCTACAGAAAATTGGAATTGATGGTCTTTATCTCTATCTACTGAAAGTCATCTATGACAAACCAACAACCAGCAGTATACTAATTGGACAAAAACTGAAAGCTTTCACTATAAAATCAGGAACAAGATAAAGATGCCCACTATCACTATGTTTATTCAATGTAGTTTTGGAAACATTAGCCAGAGCAAGTAGATAAGAGAAAGAAATAAAAGGCATAAAGATAGGAAAGGAAGAAGTTAAATTATCATTATTTGTGGATGACATGATACTCTACAGAAAAGACTCTAAAAACTCCAGAAAAATTTAATAGATTTAATAAGCAAATTCAGTAGTGTAGCTGGATACAAAGTCAACATTCAAAAATCAACAGCCTTTATGTACAAATAACAAACTCACTGAGAGAGAAGTCAGGGAAATAACACCTTTCACAACATCATCCAAAACAAGGAAATGTCTATGAATCACTCTAACAAAGGATGTAAAAGACTCCTACATTGAAAACTGAGTATTCTAAAAAAGGAAATTAAAGAGGATATCAGAAAATGGGAAAATATGCCTTATTTTTGGATAGGAAGAACCAATATAGTGAAAATGGCCACATTTTCAGAATTGTTATACATATTTAATACAATTATGATCAAAATTTCAACAGTGTATCTCATAGAATTGGAGAAAACAATCCTAAAATTCATTTGAAACTGGAAGAGACCCAGAATAGGAAACACAATTCGGGGAACAAAGGCAAGTCAGGAGGTATCACAATCCTTGACTTGAAACCGTACTATGAACACACTGTGATACAAACAGCATGGTACGGGCAAAAAATCAGACCCGAGGATACATGGAACTGATCAGAAAATGCAGAAACAAATGCAGACATATTCAGCCATCTTCTCTTTGACAGAAGGGGCAAACATCTTTACTGGAAGAAAGATGGCTCTTTAGTAAACGGAGCAATAAAAACTGGCTTTCCACATGCTGAAGATTAAAACTAGACCCATGTCATTCACCATGCACTAAACTAAAATCAAAATGGATCAAATATCTCAGTACTGAGATAGAAACACTATATCTGCTGGAAGATAGAATTTGTAGAACTCTTGAATACACTGGTCTAGGAAAACACTTTATGAACAAAACTTTGATCACACAGGAACTATCACAATAAGTCAACAACTGGGATCTCATCACACTAAAAAGTTTTCATAGCAAGAGAAATCACTAACAGAGTGAAGAGATGATAAACAGCATGGGAAAAATATTTTGCTAACTGTTCCTCAGACAAAGAATTATTATCTAGAATCTATAGAGAGCTAAAAAATCAGAAGTTTAAGGACCCAATCAAAAAATGGGTATCTGAAATGAATAGATACTTCTCACATAAAGAGGTAGAAATGGAAAATAGATTCTGAAAAAATGTTCAGCATCACTGATCATTCAAGAAATGCAAATTAAAACAATGCTGAGACTACATTTCACTCTACAAAGAATGGCTGTTATAAAAAAAAATCAACCATTAACATGAGCTTGTGGGGAAAAAGGACACTGATCTTTACTGTTGGGAGTGCAGACTGGTGCAACCACTGTGGAAATCAGTGTGGAGATTCCTCAAAACACTAAAACTGGAGATTCTATTCAACCCAGCTATTCCCTTTGTCGGTTATCTTCTCAAAAAATATTAAAAGCATCATACCACAGTGATATATGTGCATCCATATTTATAGTAGTACAACTTGTAATAGCCAAATCTTGAAAACAACCCAGATGCCTATCAACTTATGGGTAAAGATTTTTTCTACATTGGAGTATTATTCAGCCATAAAGAAGGATGAAGTCGAGGCATCTTGAGACCACACTCTTCTGTGAAATAAATTGAGCACGTGTGTAAATATTGCACTATGTCTCTGGTATAAGAAAATGAATGTATCATTAAGGACCAAAATGTCTGATACATATTGTAAAACAGAAAGAAAATGTTCAAATGGGAAGGGAACTAGGGAGGGAGGAGGGGGAATGAAGGAAGAGAAAAAGAAAGAAATGAGAAAAGAAAGATAAAAAGGAAACAGAGCTTTATAAATAAGCAGGTGAAGAGGGCTTGAAGAGAGGGTAGGGGAATGGAGGGGGGAAGAATCAATCAAGATGTGTCATGTACAGGTACAAATTCCCCATGATGAAGGTGATCATTATGTATATCTAAAATGTACCAATACACTTAATTACAAAAAAGAAATATGCTCTGCAGACCAAGTGTCTGCCAACTAAAGTAGGAAAATTATACTCCCCAGGGTGAGAGCCAACAGCTGTGAGCACACAGCGCCCAAGGGCATAATCGTGCCAGCCTTTAATATTCCCCACCCTCAGGCTGACACCAGATCTAGGCTGTCTTATCAAGCACGCTTGCGCTGGCTGCATGAGATCTGAAGACAGCTGTTTTTCTGTGCATATCCTGAATCTCTGTGCTTGTGGCTTGTGCCATTTACTCGGGCTTTTTACCACACTGTCCTATTCTACCTGGGAAGGAAGAAGCATTTGACATGTCGAGGCTCTGTTCTGGCAGCCACAAGTATTATTTCTTTAGAAAGTGCTTTTATGGGGAGAAGCCTCCTTCTGGACACTGCAGGGACAAAGGGGACAAAAGGTCTCATGCTCTAGTAAGAAGCCAGGGCCTGGCACTGCACTGCAGATGAAACTGCCACTGCGGGTGATTTCACGTTAATAGTTAACTTTGTCTTTCCAAAGTTTTGCTCTATGCTGAGACGCTCTGGGCCTGGCGCTGGGTTGCAGTTCTTGCCTTGAGCATGAAGCCATCTGTTTGCAGAGGAGAAGAAACTCAACAAAGTCTCAGCAATGTTTACTCTTTTGTGTTCCTAAGAGCCTCTCGGAGAGCTCAGCTCCAAAGTGCACCAACCCAAGTCTCCATCAGTTACAGAAAGTCCGGAAGCCTGGTCTTAGGTGATGCGGTGATTTAGGCGAAGGTAAGATTGTTTTGCTCTCCAAAGTTGAGCCTCTGGGAGTAGCCAAAGATGCTTAGGCACCTCAAGCAGCCTGCTGCAGACTTCCACAGCATGAATGACGCCATGTGTCACAGAAGTATTGCCCAATTCCGGATGCTGTCTGAAGTCTCTTCTCAAGGCTTCAGGAAAACTTTAATGGAGAGCCCCAGGTGAGAATTCAGGCTGGCTGAGTTTTTTAGTAACCTGAGAGTGACTCTGAAAGAGTCTCTTGAAATGTCTTCGCCTTCTTCCTTGCGATATGCAGTCAAGGGCCAAGAGCCAAAGAGGTAGCTTAAGTGTCATAATGAATGCTCTCTGGCTCTTTAGATGTGGTACCCTTAGCACTACAAACACAGTCATTATTAGGCACTTGTTGCCTAGGGAGCTGGCTGGGCCACCCCAAGGAGGACTCCAGGGAAGAAAGCCAAAGCCTGCCTGTTATCACCCTAGCTTTCAGCACCTGGAGTCTGCATAGGGCCCCAGGGAACCCATTATGAAAGCATGTACTTCCATATACTTCCCACCAACCCTCTCAACAATTTGTGGGATCACTGAGGAGGATCCCCGAGGGACTGAAAATTCCTTCCCGGGTGACACGGAGAAGACAATCACGTGATTTGAGTAAGGGTTACAAAGTGAATCTCCGGCTTACTCAGGCTTCTGAGGAAACTCATTTCTGCTAAGGCAGAAGCAAATAGCACGCATGAAGCATAGCAGTATTTTAGTCAAACGAGGGCGGGGTTCAGTAGTTGAATACAAACATCATCACTGTCAGGCAATTTGGACATATTTTACAGAAATGAATCTTTTCCTGCATAATGGCATGATTAAAAAGTCGGTTCATTGCTACACTCCCGAGAGGAGTTTTAAAATGCTTCACAATCCACTTTTTATCCTTTGCGTAATTGATGAATTAATACTGACACGTTATTATTAACTAAAACCCACAGTTCACTTTAGGATTAACTGGTTCTACCATACATTTTATAGTTTTTGGAAAAGCAAAATGTCATCTACCATGACAATATTATACAGAAGGCTTCCCTGCCCTCAGAACCCCTGTTTCACCCGTCTATCCTTCCTTCCTTCTCCAGCCCTTGGCAATTATGGACCATTTTATTGTCTTCATAGCTTTGTCTTTTCCAGATGGAAATGGTTTTGTTCTCCAGAGCTGAGTCTCTGGGAGCGATCACCAACAGCCAAAGAGGCTGAGGTACCTCAAGCAGCCTGCTGCATACAATATGTAGCCTTTCAATATTGGCTTCTTTAACAAAGTGCATTTACACTTCCTTCGTGTCATTGGGTAGCTTAACACCATATTACTTTTTAATCGCTGAACAATACTCTATTTTACCACAGTTTGTCCAGTCCCCTATTAAAGGACATCTTGTTTTCAATTTTTGGCCATTATAAATGAAGCTACTAAAAGATTCACATACGGGGTTTTGTGTGTGTGAACCTAAGTTTTCAAATTACTTCAGCAAATGCCTAGGGGTGTGGTCAATGCATTGTGTGGTATGAGAATATTTAAGTCAGGTAAGATGCTGCCAAAGTGTGTTCCAAAGCAACTGCCCTTTTGCACTGCCCCCACAAGCAATCATCTCATCTTCAGTAGCATTTGTTTAGAATTGTAGCCACTCTGATAGATATGGGTTTCATTTTTGTCTTAATTTGCAACTTCCTGGCCATCTCTGATGAGCCATCTTTTCATATGCTTGCTATCCACATATTTCCTTCAGTAAGGTAGATATCTGTTCAGATCTTTTGTACATTATAAAAATTAGGCTTCTTGTTGAATTTTATGATTTTTGGGGATATATTTTGGATAACAGCACTTTGTCAGATGAGTTATTAGTACATATGTGTAGTATATAATGTTTCCATTACTTGTGCGGAGTTTGTCCATGTACACAATACATTCTGGTTCTTTTTCATCCCTCCCCCTCCCTTTCCTCCATATCTTGACCTTCTTCCCATCTGAGAAAGATCTATTTTGGTTGTTGTTGTCTGTGTAAAATTGTTCCACTACCATTTGTTGGAGAAAAAAACCCTGTCCTTTCTCCTATCAAATTGCTTTGCTCCTGTGTCAAGGAACCATTGTCTGCACTGATGTGGGTATATTTCTGGGCTCTCTTTGGACTTGTCTGTTCTTTTCCAGTGCCATCCTCCCTCGATTACCGTGTTTAGGTCAGGTAGTATCAATTTGCTGGTTTTGTTCAACATTGTGTTAGCTATTTTTGGTCTTTGGCTTTTTTCATGTATACTTCAGAATCCCTTAGTACTTAAAAGAATAACTTGCTAGGATTTTGAGTCAGGTGAATTGGAAAGTAAATTGGAAAGAAGTGCAATCCTAATAATAGTGAGTCTTCCAATCCAGGCACAAGGAATCTCTCCTTTATTGTTTGATTCTTTCATGACAACTTGATAGATTTCCTTATGTAGAACTTGTACATAGTATACACTCAAATCTTTTTAATTAAAAAAATTTTTGGCGATAGTATAAATATTGTTTTAAATTTAAAATTCAAAGCCAAGCATAGTGGCATATGCCTATAATTCTAACAACAAGCATCTGAGGCAGGAGGATTGGTGAAAGTCTGAGGGCAGCCTTGACTACAAAGTGAGTTTAAAGCCAGCCTGGATGACACAGGAAGAGTCTGTTTCGAAACAAAGTAAAACCCCCTAAATAAATAAATTTTTAACTGTTCATTGCTGATATATATGGAAGCAATTGGGTTTTATATACCTGCCCATTTTTAAAAATGTGTTTTTTGTCTTTTTCTTTTGTTTCCTTCTGTTTCTTAAAAAGAAGAGCTCAAGATTCAGAGAAGGATCTTAAGCTAAATTTTTACAACTTTGTAGGAAACTGAGCAGATACTATGGAGACCATGTACATGTCCCCCTTCCCAGCTTCTCTGTCAGATCTTGCACTAATGTAATACATTTGCTACAACTTTAATTTCAAGTTTAATGCAGTATGGACAAGAAATGTCTTCATGTAGAGTTTACAGTCTCACTAAGAAACCAGGACAAAATTCTGCTGTACAAAGAACTAATGCAAAATAATTTGGGGGGGACTCCAAAGTCAGTTCCCTTTATTAAACGTTTATTTCAAAAACCAGACACAAAAAACAAACAGGAAAATAGGCCCTAAAGTGGCCACAGGCCTGCCCTCACCTGACCCCACCGCAGGAACGTGAAGAGGAGAGGCGTCAGCTGTGTCCTCCCTTATGAGGAGCTATTCGTGGGAAGCCAAAGAATCAACAAGCCTCCCTGCTGCCCCAGGGACACATGTGCCACCAGATGGCACAGGATCCAAGGACTGCGGGTCATATGAGGTACCACTGTACCGAAGCGTTAGTGAGAGGCTGGAGGCCTGACAGGGTAAGTACAGTGCTTTCCTCTGTTCACTGGATTCTGATGCCGAGTCCTTCCAACAGCAAGGAGCCCTGGCCAACCCTCTTCTTCAGAATTCTTACTCCACCCCCACTGCTTTCGGCTCCTTTTCTCCCCTGGGCACAGAGTCTTTGCCCTCGAGGCTCTCACTTAGCTGCCTGGATGATGACTTGGAGGAGGAGCCCCTCGGTGGAGGGGATTTCTTGTCCATCTTTATTCTGTCTTTCTTTGTCTTTGCCTTGTCCCTCTTAGAAGACTTACATGGGCCTCCTTCACATTCTTTCGTGGCTTTCTCACATTCACAGCTGGCGACCTCATCCTTACCCCCGTGCCCCAACTTCCCTTTCTTCTTGGACATCCTCTTCCACATCTTGTCTGCCTTCTTAGGAAGATCTGTGGTGCTGATGCCAGGGTGATCTGCCTTGATCTTCTCTTGATTGGCCTTCAGCCATAGCGTGTAAGCAGACGTGGGCTTCTTGTGGGGACTGGGATCTTTGTTTTTCTTTACCTCTTGGGTCTTCTTGTGGTCCTTGTGATCCTTGGCTGTCTTGGCCCTTTGGAGCTGTTTCTGCTCCTTCTCATCCTGGTCACTGTCACCCTCATTACTGAAGGAGCTGGTGGTAGAGGCATTGCTGTCAAACTCCTCCGCCACTTCTTCCTCCTCTTCCTCTCCAGGCTTGAAGGACTCATCCATTTCCTCTCCCAAGTCATCGCTGCTGTCATTTGGATTCTCTTCCCGGATCTTCCCCTCTTCCTTCATCCTCTCCAGGTAGGCATCATGCAGTTCTTCATCAGAGTCAGTGTATTTGCGGTATTTTGGATTTTTGCCATCTTCCAATTCTTGGTTTTTGATGTTAAGCTTTTTGGCACTGATGAAATCAAACAGCTTTCCGTACTCCTCCTTCTGGATGCTGCTGAAGGTGAACTGAGTGCCCTGCTTGGTCTCAATCTCCAAATCAAAGAAGCGAGTGGTGGTGATACCACGGGCAAAGTTGACACAGGCGATCTCATGGAAGTGGACGTGGACAGGTGGCTTGTGGACATAGATAAAGTCCTGCTCCAGCGGATACAGCAGCCCTGAGCTGGCTTTGTAGGAACAGGCGATGCACTTGGCCCCCAAGTGCCCTTGGAAGTTACCAGGGACTGTGATCTTGTGGTTTACAAGGGCTTTCATGACCCGGCTGAACACCTCATAACGTGACCCTACCATGGTCTTGGTTAGCTGCCCCTCAAAGCGCTTCTCTACTTCCTCCTCATTCATGTTGAGAGTCAAAGTGATGTTCTCCTCCTTGGAGAACAGAAGGATGAGGAAGTGGTAACGGGTCTGGCCCTGCTTGATAGGGGGATCCAGGCTGATCACAAAGAACATTTGGCGTTGGTCCTTGTGGGGCAGCAGGAAGAGGTGCAGAACCATGGAGAAGGAGATCTTGTAGTCAAAGGTTTTGCCGTGTAGGTGCAGGAAGGTGGGATAGATGCGAATGTCATAACGACCTCGGGGAGTCAGGCACTGCAGCTCCTGGAAGATGCAGATGGCATCTGCAGTGGCCTGGATTACGTCTGCTTTGGACAGCACATTCTGGGCAAAGGCCTGGACCAGGTCCACACCTTCCTCCTGGGTAGGAGGAACATAGAAGCGCATCTCCACAAGGGAGACTTCTACATCATCACTCTGGTGGAACTCCAGAGTCACTTCATTCTTGGCTGTGGTACACTGGGAGACGTTGCTGAGGGGTATCTCGAAGACTGACTGGCTGCCAATGTCAAAGGAGAGAAGCTGCTCACCAAACTTCACTGTCCCCCAGTTCCAGCCCTTTACACAGAGGTCCTTCTCCTTGAGCTCAAGATGATAGTGAGTCTTGAAGAAATGAGAGAGTCTCTGAAACTCCGATTCTTGGAAGCCATCGTATCTGTAGACATGGCCATGCTTTAGGAGCAGTTTAAGTCCATGACCCAGAGATACCCTGCGCCAGACACCTTCCATCAGCTCACAGGCCTGGATGTTGTCCACTTTACCTGTCTTGCTGTGCCTGAAGATGATACCCTGATGGTCCAACCTTAGATGACCCTCCTTCATGGAGCCTTTCATCTCCTGATAGATGTCACTGAACTCAAGCATCTCTGCCATGTTGACTCCGTCAGGTGGCAGCTGGAAGCCAAACCCCAACTCCTAAATTGGTGTGTGGATGCTCAGCTTTCCAACGGCCAGGGTGGAAGTGCGCACGCGGGGAACAGGGGATTGGGTGGATGCGGGGAGCGTGGGGGTGGGGGTGGGGGTGCGGAGCTGTTTCTGCGCCTGCGTGGTCCAGCCTCCTACTGCCGGAAGTCACATACCGGAAACGGAAGTCGCACATGGACTGTGGGGTTTTGTTATGCATCATCCCGCTGAAAAGGGGAGAAATTAGCGTAGTTGGCAGTAATAATAAAGGAAGTGAGAGTCAGGAAGGCTCTGGGAGGGTGATAGGTTTGGATAGGTGCAGGTAGTAATAAGCAGTCTAAGCAGAAGGACTAACTGCCATGCACAAAGATTTTGACGCAGCAATGTTGATGGGATGAATTTTATCACATCCATCAGAGGTTTTGAAAGTTGGTGTGAATAATCAGAAGTTGATGAAGTGCTTAGATTTGGATTTGTAAGCAGACCCTTTGGGTCTGGTTCTTTTAGGACCATTGGTTTTTGGTTGCACAGGTATCTCGAGGCAGCGGTACTCTGTACTATAGAGGCTTTTAATCAAAACAAAAGGCTCATGCTTGGGAGTTTTTCTGAAGAGAAGAAGTTGTCATTCTAAGCAAAAGCTACCACATGGGGTATAGCTTTTTTGCATATAGAGGAGTAGAATTTTGTGTATGTACACATGAAAAAGGAAGCAACCAATTTGGAAAAACAAAATTGTGACACAGACCCCAGGGAGAGTTGCCCTGAGCTCTCCAGGCTATTTGCCTTCATTGAACTGTCTTTGGAGAGCTTTTGTCGTTTATAGTGGGCAAGAGAACTACGTGGAGTGTGGTAGCAATGAGGGAGCTAAATGAATACATTGCTTTAATTTATTCTCACTACTAGACAGACAGTAAGGAGGATAATAAATGCCTAATCTTTCCCTTTTGGTCTTAACTTAGCTCCAGAGGTCTCTCCAGATTCGCATTTAATTGTTATTCAGATCAGTGCTAATAAGACTGCAGAAACTAAACTTCTGACTGTGGAAAGGACACGTTCATATTTACAATTTTAGTCACTTTCCCCACAGACATTACCTTTCTTCCTAATATCTTTCTCAACTCTTTTTCTCCCCACTCCCATTTGATCCTAAGGGCAGCCACAAACTTGATCTTCCTGGCTATCACCTATCTCATTGACTGAGTTCAAAACAGTTGAGTCCCACTAGGCATGGCAGCACATGCTTACAATCCCAGAGCTCTGGAAGGCTGAGGATGGGCAGGTTCAAGGCTAGCTTGGGCAACTTAGCAAAGCTCTGACTCAAAATTAAAAGGTCCTGGGCTAGGAAGGTATTTCAGTGTGAAAGCCCTGGATTCACTCCCCAGTACCGCAAAAGACAAACTGAATCCTGGAGTTGGCTTGGATCCATTCTTTTTCTTTATGAAATCTTATTCCTTCCTTATAGGTGTCTCTTTTTTTGGTTTTCACCTTGTCACAGCATGCTACCTGTAACTCCCATACATTTTGGATAAAATCTAAACTTTTTGGCCTAGATATCTTCTTAAAACTTACAAGACAGTCCCATTGATTGCTCCTCTCTTTAGTCTGTTCTTGTTCATGTTTATTTCTCTGTCTGGCATTTTGCTCTTTTCTTCTAAAGAACAATTTAAGTTTTACTTTCTCTGTATTACAATTGCCATTTTGTGCACATAAAAATATCAGGTTAGCTGGGCTTGGTGGTGCCTACCTGTAATCTCAGCACTCAGGAGGCTGTGGCAGGAGTATCGTAGCAAGTTTGAGACCAGCCTGGGCTATAAAATGAGCTCAAGGCACTTAAACTGCATAGTGAAACTCCGTTAAAAAGACCAGAAAAATCAGTTTCCATTTTAATTTCAGATAGACAAAAAGTAAAGCTTCAACAATAAGAGACATACTAAAATATCACTTATTTGTATGAAATTTAACCTTAATTAAGCAACCCATATTTTATCTGTCAACTATTCCTCCATGGAGCTTATTCTTAATGAACTGACAATCTCTTATCTCCCATTTTTGGTTCCTGAAACACTTAATTCAGTCTTTCAATTCATACTATCTTGTACTTATTAGATATACAGTATCAACTGTTAAGGAACAAATATTCAACATCAGACATTGGACAAAGTTCTTATATAGTAGTTAATTGAATTCTTACAAATTATGAGATAAAGTAGGAACTACTATGACACCCATTTTATAAATGAGAGAGGTGAATCTGAGAAATTATTTAATTTTGTTCAGCCTCTCACAGCTAATTACAAATTTGAATTTTGATCTGTCCATAGAGTGACTAATTTGTTCCGGTTTCCTTGGCACTGTTCCATTTTATAAAATAATGAGTCATGCATCCCACGAACCTTTTCAGTTCCAGGCAGATTTTGTGTCTGACTTTGAAGCCTGAGATTCTGCCCCACTTCCCAGCCTTTATGAGTTTTCATTTTGGTCTCCATTATAAATGGTCCCCTAAGGACAGGGGACTATTTAATGGTATTGACTGATTTTGAGAATTACTCTACAAATAGGAGGAGGTGCTTTCCTCGCAGACCAAACCTCTTCCCTTGGGTCTTTTTGGGTTGCAGAACTGAGGACTGTGTAGATCAGTGTGCTTGGGGCTGACCAATCTTAGACACAGTTGGGACCTAAGCATGGCTGGTGGCCTTTACAGTAGACACACACATATTTTCATAATGTCATTGGGTACTGCCTGCAAAGACACTCTGCTGAGGGCAAACCTACGATGTGTTATTTTTCAAACAATGTTAATGTACAGTTGCTTTTTCTAAACTAAAACAATATTCAAATTTAATCGTGGTATTGGTATGATGTGATAAATAAGTGGGTTTTGGGTTGCAATTTGAGTGCTCATCCCTAAAATGTTCACTGTCACTGCTAGGTTATTGCTATTACCCACATTTCCTCTTAAACTGATGAAAGTGTAACTTCCTACCAGGTGTGTAGTGTCTCAGATTTGAAAGATCTCCTGCTCAGAAGTCTGAGTTGAGGAGTGAGTGGGAAGCTCCTTACTGGATGAGTCAGTACCCTAGCATGGGAAATTGCAACGGCAAACAGGAACACTGAAACAACACCCAGGATTTGGAGGCAGAATTATTTATGTCGACTGGCACTGATTGGGATCATTCCTAGAATATCAGGCCCTGATCTCTGGTGGTCTGGGGCTTATGTGGCATAAGCAAGCAGGAAGTAGAGGTAGAATGGCTTGTCAATTGGGGATTGGTTTGTACAGTGTGCATCGTAGTGACCAGGTAAGTGTCACAGTGACCAGCCTTTTCTTTTTTTTTTTATCGGTACCAGGGATCGAACTCATGACTGTCTGTATGCTTGCAAGGCAGGCGCTTATGCTGCTGAGCTAAATCCCCAGCCCCCTACCAGCCTTTTCTAAGAGACAGATGTAACCGGAAGCGGAACAGGAACTATGACTGGAGCACCTAAAAAACTAAAGTGTGCTGGCTTGGGGTGAATTTTCTCTTATATTTCACTCCTCTTTTGGTTTTCCCAGCAAGTCTATGCTTGGCATATTACACGTGATCTTCTGAGACAAGGTCCAGCTAGAAGCAGTAACAGTAAGATTGTCAGTGATCCTAGGATGGGCCTTAGCCAAGCTCCCCAAGATTATTTTATTACAGAGCTTTTTCCTAAATTGTTTTTAGGAAGAGACATAATTTAGATTTGTCTGTCCTGTAAGATTACTCTGGCAAGGCAGTAAGGGAGTTAGCTTGATCTAGGAGAGAGTCCAATGTGCCTTGTGTGTTCATCAAATCTTGGTCAAATGTTTGATTGATTCTATTCTCTTGGGGCAACTGTCCACCAAGTTTAAGGAAAAAAAAAACCTCAAACAAACAAACAAGCACAGCTAGCAGGGGCTGGAGAAGCAAGGGCTGGGGTAAGCAGCCTGTTGTGAATGATGTCTTCAGGCTTCAGTCATGCATGGACTGGTCAGCATTCTCTTCAGAGTGAGACTTGAAGGAGCTCTCCAGATAAATTGTCCACCATATCTAAGGCTGGATTTCTGAAGCTTATAAAGGAAGTTAATATGTACTTGGATAATATGTGTGTGAAGGAATGTCTGTGGATATAGCAGATCTTTTAACTAGTTAGAAGTTTTTTTTTTTTTTTTTTTTTAACTTTTCTAGAACTTTATGGCCTGGATGCTGCATATAGTTTTTATTTAATCTAGTTTTTTAGTTACCTCTGCTACAAATGCAGGCCTGTTGTTGCTGCCAATGATCAAGTGTAGGCCATATCTAGGGATATGGGGGCTGTGGTTGATGTGTCAGTCAGTTGGATCCCCAGAGGTGGGATAAGGCCTCTGGACTGGATTATTTTGCATCATTAGTGGCAAATTTCCAAACAGCAGCAGGAAGCAAGTTTGCTGTGCAGATCATCCTTGCAGGACAGTGTTGGCCAAAATAGTTTTTGTCCAAGGTGACCTCAGCATACATAGTTGGACTTCATTTCTAACACAGTTACTTCCATACATAAACAGGGTGTACTCAGCATCTGTCAGGGATCCATTTTCAGAACAGTTCATCCCAGGATAGCATGTGGTACCTGGACAGTTAGGTGTCAGTCTAAGGTGAGCTTGTCAGCTTTCTTGATCTGAAATATAGTGGCTGTTGGAGTACAGAGACAAAGTGGGAGGGAAGCCTTTACAACCAGTTCCAAGTAGTTGCACAGGTAGGCCACTGGGTTCTCCCAAAATCTGACTCTCCGAGTAATCATGATTGTTTTTGTGAACTCAAGGATCCAGATTTTATAGAAGCCAGCAGCTCTAAGAAATTTACAACTTCTTTTTTTAAAAACCAATTTCTGCCAGATATTGTAGCAGAACTTTTGTGTCTTTCTAGCAGGCAGTTGAGTGTCATTAATCAGAAATATTTTTTCAAAGAGTAAACAAGTTTTTGAACCTCTAGAAGGTTGAGTTCCAGGTCACTTGGTTTGTGAATCCAGAACTGGGGTCTTTCCATTCAAAGCAAAGAGGGGCT